TTATCCCTCTCTCACTCATTTTCTCCAATCCCACCTTATCCCCCTTATCTCTCTGCCTTCGATTCCCTCTTCTTCCCCTGATCCCTATTTTTCAGATCCCATCTTCTCCCCTTATCCCTCTTCCTTCAAAGGACGACGCGTCCACCTTTCTTCTTCCCCGTCCATTCCCTAGCCTAAACTCTCTATTCTTCAAACTCTCTCGATTCTTCTATCACGGTTGGATTCTTGCCGGAGCTCTTCACCATCTCCTTCCACTCTCTCCACCTCGCACCACTCACTCCCGCCGACACTGCTTTGTCCCCCCAAATCTCCATTCCACCGCCAGATTCTTAAACCCCCAACCTAGATCTCCAACGCTTTTAACAAACCCGGATTTTGGATGGGGATTCATTTAGGGATTTGATGGGCTGCGAGTGTGATGTTTTGATTCACGGGCAAGACGGCTCGGAAACAGGAAGAGAAGTAGCGGCGTCGGAGTTCACCAGCGGCAACGAGGAGTCTCTTTCCTCCTCTCGACGGCTGGGCTCGGCAACTGGAGGAGAATGGTGAGTAGTGGTTGGGTTGGAATAGAGGTAGGTGATGGCTGAAATTCTGGGAGTGAAGACAGGGGAGGGGAGTTCGATAGGAGAAGAGAGATTTGGGAGCTTGGCAGCGATGGCGAGGACTGACCGGCGGTAGCTGCTGGGTTTGATGGAGGTGAGAAGGAGATGAAAAGATGAGACAATGGGAGCAGAGGGTAGAGGGCAGATCGAGATGGAGAGGAATCTTTTGCGTGTTCTGACTATTTTACTGGGGACCTTTTGGTGTGTAAGGGGAATACCAGAGGAAAGAGAGGTGGAGGATCCGAGGGAGAGATCAACAATGGTGGCGTTGAGGGGAGATCAGAGGTCACTTAATTTTGCCTTGAAAAGATTGATTTCAAATCTCTGGGTTTTTTAGTTTGTTGTTTTCTTAGCTGCAGGAGAAAGAAGAAATCGAAGGATGAGGAGAGTAGCAGATGGGAGAAGAATAGGGGTCATGGAAGCAGATTAATGGTGATTGTCTGATTGACGATGGGAGGAGGGTCGGTGGGTTGCTGGAGGAGAAAGAAGAGGGTTCGAAGAGATTAGGTCAATAGGGAGATGGGCGAATTTTTTTTTCATTTTTTTTATTTTTGTAAATGACGTGTCGTGTGAGTGCTGAGTTGGAAATGAAATGGAGGGTGAGTTGGCAGCCAAGTCAACGTTCTGTTAATTTAACTAACGGTGTCACTGACGCCGTTAAATTATTTAACGGAAATGGCTATTATTGTCATCAAACTTTCAAAATTCTGGCTATTACTGGTATTTCTCAAAAAATGGCTATATTTGACAAAACCGTCAAAGTTTTGGCTATACAAGTGTATTTGGCCTTTAAGTTACTAGTAAAGTTCACGTTAGCCACTAGAATTACTTTATTCCACTCGTAGTAACTTAATTTTTTTTTTATAATGACTCGTAGTAACTTAAATTAGGTTAACAGTTTCAAGTTTGATCATTGGTCATTAGTCTCCGTTAACTTTTGCTTATATGGCGGTCAACTATCTCTTATAGTTGACCATCAAATGAGTGACATGACAATTAAAAAATAATAAAATATAATTTTTAATAATTTTTACCTCATTATTACAATAAATTAAAAAAATGTCATGGCGGAGGATGATTCTTCTCCGTCGAGGTCATCAGCTCCGACCACGTCTCCCTCCAAAAAATTGTCGCCACTGTTACTTATCTCCTGCCAAGCGCGCTTCAAAAACTCTAAACTCTCCTTGCAAACTCTCCCTGCACACCCACTCCAAAACCCGCAACTTTCATCGCCGATTCATACTTTGAATCCCTCTCTTCACACACCCACTCCGAAATCTCGTCGGGGGTGGATTTGTAGAGCTTGGAGACGGCGAATCTGCAATGCTCGAGGACGACGGATTTCTGGCCATCGCGGACGTGAGGACGGAGACGTTGATCGGCCCCGATTGCGAGTGCTAGTGCTTGGAGAAGGAGTTTGATATCACTTTTTTATATAACTTTTTTGTCATAAAAAACATTGGATTTGGACAAATTCCAAAGGTATTTTGGATGAGAAAGTTGAAAGGTATAGAATTCAACACGATATGGGAATCGAAAAAGAAGAAGAGAGTTTGGATTTTCAATTTCCATAAACATTGAATGTTCATATTTGAGTATTTATATTTTATATTTTGTTTAACTTTATCAATTCGCTTAATTTTATTAACAGCCTTCGATCGAGATGATATATAAAGAATGAATGTATATGTAGAATATTTGATGAAATACCATCATCATTTAAGAATATAAGATATAAAAATATACTCATAAATCCTATTTCATAATGATAATTAAGCCCTTGTTAAAATGTTATTGGTTCAGGAAAGATAGAGTATATAAATCTTATTGAAATTCCCACACGACCCATGGATAATTAGAAACTAAAACTAAAATCTCACAATCCTACACAAAGGGTTCAATGCTCACCTTTAAAAAATGAAGAGTTGTTGATTCAAGTCAATCATATACTACCAACTCAACTAAAATGAGACCATCAAAACTTGAGAGCAAACGATAAAATTAGGGTTACCTCCAATATACTAATAGATGTGATCAAAGTAATAAGGCACAAAATTAGATACTCCTTATCTACCAGTTCCAGTAGTTTGAATAGAGAATAAACCTTAATTTTAGTAAATCAATCAATAATTCCTCGTTTTAAGATAGACATAGGTAGTGATAGCTACAACAATCATAAACCTAAAGATCATATAGCCATCACTCTTTGTTGTATAACCAACTTTTTATCCCCTCTATCTTCAATCTCAAGAGGCATATGTTTCAACCCAAAATTCACTTTCTAATCCTCCTCATGCAGCTCTATTTCTGCTACTTTGATGGACATTCTCGTTGTGGCCCTCAATTTCTCTTCGAGTTGGGGTTCTTGCCAACTCTCTCTTTAACTCCTCAATCCTCTTTTTCTATTTGACCAACTCATCTTTCTTAGGAGTAGTTGTAATAAGCTCGGTAAAACCAACTCTCATCTCCAATTCCATCAATATACTCATCTCCTCCTTGACTGCCTTCACCTGCTCCAGTTCACTTCTATGCCCTTCAATACCCTCTCCATTTTTCATTAATATCCTCGTCATCATTCACTTCTCTCTCTTTTCAACTACTTTAGTTTTGCTTCCATGTCTTTCAATACCCTCCTCAATTCGATCACTACCCTCACCAACTCGCTCGTCTCTCCCTTCACCTGAAGTAGTTGAACTTTACTTGCTATCAAATCCAAACACAATTTTTTACCCCGCCACTTTCCTCCCAAACCTAATCTCAACCTTTCTACTCTGAGTTCAACACCCATTCCTCCAGTAGTACTGTTGTGTGGATGCTTAATTTTAGCAATCATTATGGCTTGCAATTATATTGATGGACACTAAAAACATCGACAAAATCAACAGTGTCTAACTAATCCTAAAACATATGTCAAATTTCGATTGGTGAGCTGGACCATAAGAATCGGGATTGATGAAGAAAAATATAGTTGTGGAGAACATTAGCCATGACAAAACAAAACCTGAGCGAAAATATCATAATTTTAAAAGAATTTTTTTTTATAATAATGACTTATTTTATTATTTCATCTCCTTTTTTTTTGTGTGATTTCATTTCATTTTCTTATACCCAAAAGAGTTATTCTCGCCCAAATAACTCACATCAAATAATGCAATTACAACCTGAAAGTTCTTACATAGGGGTGGCTATAAGTCTGGCAGTGGCAGAGGCAGGGCCTTTTGGCCTTGTCCTGGGACAAGGATAAATTTCGGTGGAACAAAAATACGCCATATATTATTATATTGGTGATAGAACACAACACGCACAGGTAGTATTGGAGTATTTTGTCACTACAACACAACTCATTACTTGTCCAAAATTGATATAAAATTAATTTATTATACAATAAACGAAATTCCAATTGCAATAAAGAACTAATCGGGTCTCTTTTCCCCTTATGCCTATTCGATCTGTCCCCAACAACCCTGAAATTGTCTAGCGACAACGGCAATCCCACTAGTTTTGATCTACCAATTACAACATCAAGTGTAAAAAGAGCATTTTCAGCTTTGAGTTATATGAAGAACAAGTTTCCAAGTCGATTTGGCGACCAGTTTGCTAATACTTGTTTAGTAAGATACATTGAAAGAGACTTATGTAATAGTGTAGATAACGAATGTTTTTGCGCTTCTTTCACTATATGAAATTCTTTCGTAGTTGTTTCTAAAAAGTATGATAGTATAATTAGTAATTTTTTATTTATGAATGAATTATTTGGATATAATTATTTTTTGTTAAATAATTCATTTATTAAATACTTATATATTAAAGTTATGAAAAGAGGACAGGGGTGGTTTGAAATGCTACCTCCGCCACTGCAGTCTGGTCCGGTTAAATTTACTCAAATTGATCCGGTCCAGTCTGGTCTTTTTGAAAATATAAGGATCAAAGATTGGATTGGATATAGTCCGGTCTTGATCCGGTCCGGTCCCAATTTGGTCTTGATTTTATATTGAGCTTGTGGAGATTTGAGTGACCTAAGGCTTGAAAGGGTGAGGAGTTGGTTAAGTTTTGTACTAAGTGCAAAGGTTTGTGACCGTTTATGCAAATTACCCTTAAGTTTTGGGTGTTGAGCTCTCTTATCCGGTCTCGAACGGTTTTTTTCCTCAAATCTAAGCCCAAAGATTGGATTAGATTGTTTACTATCCGGTTCCGGTCCAGTCTCGGTCCGATTTATACGGTTTGATTTTGGGTAAAACCAAAAAACCCGGACCAAATAGCCAGCCTAACATGAATTGGAGGACCATTTACGTGAATGACCACCGGATTGAGTCCGGCCCAATTAGTTGGCTGGATAATGGTCGTCAAGGCGACAAGGCCGGGGCCGTTGTGGTTCTTCTTGAACAAGAAATTGCCCAGAGCGAGCTTTTGGGTATTTATGGGCCACACTCTTCTTCCTCCCACAAACTCTGGTCTGGACAAGACTTTAATCTTCATTTTTGTCTTCCAGCAACTTCGAATCCTTGATGATTGAACTATCTCCTGAGCCAACTTCTTTCCTTCCTCCGCTGCGCGATGATGACCGTTCGAGCTGTCAACACCTGCTATCTCCTTCGCTCCGGTTCTCCGCCGCCGCTCTCCTCTTTCTGTTGCCGCTTCAACCATTTCAGTAGCTTGGACTTGTCCCGCGGCTATGGATTGCAGTTACGGTTGAGGTTCCCGGCACTTCGCGGCGAGCTGGTGAACTTTGGTCATGGAGGCGTTCGAAGTTGCTGCTTCCACAGTCTCCTTGAAAGCGCCATGGCAGAGCTCGCCTCCTATGGCAGACGCAGGAGAGTTCCAGCTGTTGCGGTGAAGTAAGCTCAGTAACTGTGAACTGTCACGATTGAAAACTTCCTTTAAACCTTGTTGTCGTAGTTGGTTACAATTTTGATAGACAGTGAATTTCTTCGCGATAGGATTTGAGGCGAGACGCAATTGTTGTGGACTGCGTCTTAATTCGTGAATATGCGTTTGAATCTTCATAGTCTGAATGACAAGCAGTGGAGAGCTTACCCTGCAGATTGACAAGCAGTGGAGAGCTTCTGGATGATAAACCTGGAAGCCAAACGCTGGTGGAGGGATTGCTGCTGGAGTTCAAGAAGGATTCTGATAGGTTACTCCTGGCAGTGGCACAGAAACCAGACGGCAAGAAGAATTGGATGGTGTACGATCAGGTTCTTCTACTACAAACAAGCATGTTGACTAGGGTGCTAAGTGTCACAACTCATCAGTCATTCTTTCAATTGGGTGGTTAGTTGTCAGTGAGGCTTCTACTTTCCTAATAGTTGATCCTCTCCGTTTTCCTGCCACAGAATGGAGTTACTTCTTCCATTAGACCCCAGCAGATTACGTACATTGTCCCTGGGGTTGAAAAGTTTGATCAAACAGAAATCTCTAGCTTTATTCAGAAAGCTGAAGATAACTTGGTTAGTGAGGGACTATCTCAATTCTGCCTGCTTTTTAGTCTTTTCGATTTCCTGATGTTTACAACTTAGTGGATACGTGCATGGTGCAGGATCCATCACTTCTTGAGTTTGCTTGGGTTGAGCTTCTTGAAAATAATAAGTCCGTGACAGCAGAAGAACTAGCTGAGGTAGTTCATCTGAAAGTAGTTCTTGTAGTCCTTTAAATATCTCTTTAGTGACTATAGCTTACCCTGCAGATGATTTTTGGTAGTGCGGAGCCCCTTGAGAGTTACTGTGCACATCTTTTGCTAACAAGAGATAACTTGTACTTTACTGTACGGGAGAATAAAGGCTCTCGTTCTGTTTATGTACCTCGAACCACTGAACAGGTGAACTCTCTTGTAGTCTTGATAGACGTAGCCTTATTATTTTTTAATGGTTGTTTGTCTTATTCCTCGCTGGGCGATTAAATATGTTAAGTGAATTGTTAGTACTTTCATTTTCTAAATAGGAGGTGTTTTATTAGCTGTCCGAGGGCTTGATGTTAGAATATGATTAGATTTCTTGCATGCCAAGCTTGTACTCCTACAAACGGAGGCTTTTCAGCAGAAATTCGTCAGATATGAATAGAATGAATTACTGAGTATTTTGACTTGTTTTGTGAGTGGATTATCTTACTGTTCTTGAGTGTATTCTCAAGGGAAGTCCTGCTCCTGAATTGGAGAGGCAACCTTAAACCTTGGAAAATCAAGTTTAGTTGAGATTGCACTATCGAATAATGTATACTTCGACTTTCTATTTAGTGTTGGTATTCTTTCACATTACAGGTCCAATTGTGTTTCTTTTGTTTCTGAAATTGATTGATTTGTATGGAATATTTGCTTGCTTCACTAATTTTGAAACATAAGATTGATTAACTAGCTGAAGGAATTTAATGAGCATAAATGTTTTTGGACGTTTCGAAGCTATATCTGGATGACATTGTTCTGACATTGTTCAACTACTAAGTCACACTCGAACATTATCTCTTGGCAAGTACTAGGAAACAGCTGTATGTTACATTGGCTTGTACTTTCTTCACAAAGTCTAGTTACAGGGTTCCTTTCCTCTTTTTCTCTCTCTCTGTTGAACTAGGTAGATGAATTTATGATAAAGAACCTTGCAAAGGAAGCAGCTGACCGAGAACTGAACGAGTTTCTACAACTGTTGAAATCTGCTAAAGCAATGCCTTCACATGCAAAACCTCCGAAATCTTCATGGATGATCGAAGAGAAATTCCAATCCAAGATTCAGTCTATCGAAGCTTATGCTATTGACGAATTTACAAGCGAGGACCAAAAGAAAACTGCAGGGGAGGTAATACATTCTACTGGACTGATTTTGTCTCGAGTTAAGACATCAGTGATACTAAATAATGACACATCATGGATTTTGATTCGACCGGAAGATAGGAAACACAAAACTGCTGAGGACTCTTCACTCTTCAATGCAAATATCATAAGTGGCTGTTTGGTTTTTCCCTAACTTCTTACGGCTACGATCTTCATGTGACACGAGGTAATGCTTTTGCCTGTCAGATCCTCAAGGCAATGGGAATGACTAAAACATCATCCTCTGCTGTAAATCTCCTAATAGCAATTGGCTATTTTCCTGTCCATGTCAATCTTGATCTGTTGAAGTTGAACATTCGTACTGATCATTCGGAGGAGATGAATTTGGCTGCTGAAAACATGTTGTCAGAGTGTCCTGACCCAGACCATGTAGGTTGATCCTTACCTGTAATGAAGTGATATACATTTATACGTCTTTTTATTGTTTGAAGAGACAATGTGGACTTTGCCTCGACTGGGCTTGAGAAACAATTTGATTGCTCGGTCTTGCATGTCTCATTTCACATTTCGTTGGGCCTACATTCCTAAACTAAGTTTGCTGTCCTGTTGTGAATAGTTTGAGAGACAGGATCTTACTCACCTAAAGGTTTATGCCATCGACGTTGATGAGGCTGATGAGGTTATACTGTTACTTCAGACCTTGTCACCCTTATCTAAAAAAAAAAGTTTACTTCAGACCTTTTTCTTGCCTCCTACTTTTGTTGTCCTCTCGGTCTTGAATGTCAATGCTGAAACTTTCTGCAGCTTGATGATGCTCTAAGTGCAACAAAGTTACAGGATGGCCGTATCAGAGTCTGGATACATGTTGCAGATGCCACTCGATATGTACAGCCTGGAAGTTTTCTGGACAGGTTTATTTAGAATTCTGTGTGCATGTAACCACTGAACGTGTTTTCTGCATGACTACCTTTCTTATAATGGTCCCATTGAGGAACCTCAGTATATGCCTTGAGATATCTCTTTTCGTGTAGGGAAGCAATGAGAAGGGCAACTTCTGTTTTCTTGCCCACTGCTACATATCCTATGTTTCCAGAGAAGCTTGCCATGCAGGGAATGAGTCTGAAACAAGGAGAGATTTGCAATGCTGTTACAGTATCAGTAGTTCTGAACTCTGATGGCTGGTAATCCCTTTCACACATGACTTACTGCATGTTATTTTGAGGTCCATTTCCTGTTCTTATACTTGAGGACAACGTTGTTTTGCTTTGTTTTGGGAATGCTTTAAATGTTCTAGGTGCTCGATTTAACTGTCTGGTTTCTCCAACTATATAGTGTTGCTAGAAATTGTTTAATGAATGCTATCCGCAGGACTATATACATAATGCATGTGAGACTCAAAGAACCATTATTGCCCTCATTGGAAGCCTGTTTATATATACTATTTCGACCAGGAGAGAACAATTTTCCTATGAATTTGATGACTTGAGTACCACTAGATTGTAAGAAGAAAAGATAGAGTAGTAGGTCCTTTGGTACAGAGGGTTATGGTGCTTAGTAAGTGATGATTTCCCTTGGGTTAGGCTTTTCCTACTTCTGACTATTCTCCTTTGTTGGTGCACTAGCATTGCTGAATACTCTGTGGATAACTCAATCATCAAACCAACATACATGCTGACTTATGAAAGTGCTTCAGAGCTACTTAATTTGAATCTGGAAGAGGAAGTCGAATTAAGAATCCTTTCCGAGGCTGCAGCTCTGCGCCTTCGTTGGCGTCGTCAGCAGGTTCGTCTCCCAAACATTGATATGCTCCAAAGCTCCAACTTGTGGAATTTTTATTTGCAATAGGTTTTGAATGCTTCCTTTCTTAGGGTATTTTGACGCCATCTGTGGCGTCCATGTTGAATGTATTACGTGAGTTGGTGAGATATGCCTTTGGTTCATCAGCTTCTAGGCTTCATGCATAAATATTAAATATTATATAAGTTAGAAGTGGTTATGCCTTCTTGTAGGCCAATATGCTTCTGTTCCCAGTGGTTTGCTTGACTACCTGCAGTTTCTCGGTTTTCCAGTAATGTCTTTCGCAAATTCTGATTTTTGCAGGGGGCAGTGGACACACAGAATATAGAAACTCGAATTAAAGTGGTGAATCCTGATGATCCAGAGCCGTCGATCAACCTCTATGTTGAGAACCAGGCTGATCATGCAATGCGGCTTGTAACTGAGATGATGGTACTATGTGGTGAAGTTATAGCGACTTTTGGATCTCAGAACAACATACCTTTGCCGTACAGAGGACAGCCTCAATCAAACATTGACGTGTCTGCATTTGCTCATCTTCCTGAGGGACCTGTTAGGACTGCTGCTATCATTAAAATTCTGCGTGCAGCTGAGATAGACTTCAGGAAGCCTATACGCCATGGGATTTTGGGGCTTCCTGGATATGTTCAGTTTACTTCTCCCATTCGCAGATACCTTGACCTGCTTGCACACTATCAGGTAAGTGTCTTCCTACATTTTGCTTAAAGGCTGCGTTTGTTTTGGATACAAAACAAGAAACTTAAGAAAAGATTGACTTAAAAGATAAAAGAAACGCATTTCTTGAAAACAATAGTTCACTGGAAACCCACAAATTCTGAAAAATCTGAAAGCCACCTCAATATTAAAATTCCATTTCAGTTTTGCCCTTTGAAATAAGAACGTAGTAGTCATTTCATTTCTCAAATTTTACTCATTTCTTTATTATTAACCAAACTGTACTATTCCATGACTCACTTCTTTTATTACTAAAACATATGTCGTATCCCATCAAACACACCCTTAGTCTTTTTGTGGTTTACGTGGCGTTGCTGATTCCAGGTTGCTAGGTCATGTTATGTGAAGGAAAATAACTGGAACTTGTTTGGCAGGTGAAAGCATTTCTGAGAGGAGATTCTCCTCCTTTCTCAGCCGGTCAGCTGGAAGGAGCAGCAGCCTCGGTAAATATGCAGACTCGCCTGATACGAAAGCTCAGCAGTACGAGTTTACGCTATTGGATAATAGAATATCTGAGGAGACAACCAAAGCAGAGAAGATACCGCGCTCTGATTCTTAGATTCATCAAAGATCGCGTAGCAGCCTTGCTACTAGTAGATGTAAAGAGCCCTCAACACAGTACCATATCAGAACAACCTCCGCAATTTCCATCTCAACGTTACTCTACGATTTGTAATTTTGGGTTTTCGTGCCACAGGTTGGATTTCAAGCATCGGCATGGGTATCCACCGGATCAGGGATCGGAGACGAGGTGCGAGTTAAGGTGGAGGAAGCGCGTCCACGGGAGGATTATATTTCTCTAAAGGAGGCCTTGTGAATGAATGAATGAATGAATGAAAGAATGTGTGTCTATAGAGGGAATGATTTTTGTTGGTAGAGTTATGTCATCAGAGTGGTCAACTCTTCATTCTTGTTGGCCCATCTCCCATATCAAAGCATGCACAGGGAGTTCCTAGCAGTTGGCAGTTGCAGGAAGTTAATGACCTCTGCTACCTGCCACTGGCAAAGCACGGAAATTCGTAATAGCCTTGATTTGACGGCTGCGTGGAAAGTGTGCAGATCTGTAGGTAACTAACTTGTCGTGATTTTGCTCCCAACCCCCACGCCCCAGGTAGTGTATTCATTCCTCCTTGCATTCATTCCTACAGTATTAAATCATCTTCTAGGGTAATTGTAGAGATTTGGATGATTTTCAAAACCTGTGGTGGTAATGTGTATCGGTGTTCGGTTAAAACCGTTCCAAACCGGTTATATTTCGATTTGGAGCTTAGAGAATCAAAATAATGTTCAGTTAAAATTTGATCCAAATTAGTCGCGTGCATGGTAGTTTTGATCGGGTTCGGTGCCAAATGCCCCATTTACTGGATCATGCAGTTAATATGGAACTACAGTCTCATTCCATCATCTTTCTAAACTAAGATTACAGAGGTTTCGAACTTGAGAAAACAAAACAAGAAAAATTGACCTAGAAGCATTCGGTAAAATAACAAACACGGTATTTTATTAAGAAAAACTGGTTCAGCATTACGCTGTAGTATTACAAGTTAAAACCAATCCCGTCACCGTCAGGGAAAGGTAGAGAGTAGTACATGGTGAATACTTTGACGCCGTTTGCGCTCCTCTATCTCTTCTATATAAGTTCCACTTTCCCCAGAAGGAGTTCATCCATTCTCTGCTTACAATTACATGTTTCTTTTACAATAACTTAATACAAAAACAACCAAAGAATGCCACCCCAGAAACCTACATATACTTGAAAGGAATCAGCATGGTGAGTAGTCTCCTCCTCACAAATCGTATATCATGAAAACACACACAAGTAAACGAAGATCCACCGACCGGATTGATCTTCATCACAATCCATCACCTCAGCACTCTGTTGGAGCTCAACTGGAAGTTATCTTCCCCTGCAACAGTTGAATGCAGCCTTCCAGCTGCCCAACCATTGTTTGTGAACTGAGCACCTGCCCGAGCTGGATCCCCGACTACACGGGTTCCCTCCAGCCGGTCTTCAAACTCAGGAAGGCCACTTGCTTTCCTCTCTTTCCTCTTTCTTCTATCCTCGTCCCTCTCTTTCCTCAGCCAACTTTCAACCGTTCTCTGCAGAAGTCACAAGGATGGTTAGTTTCTCACAACATTACAGATCGATTAACCTAGACAAGGGGTGGATCGGCGGATCATGAACAGCAAAAAAGATAGTTGCCAACTGACTGACCATCAGTGAGAGGTTACTAATCTGCTTGACTTTGGCCATTGGCATTGCTAATTGCAACTTCCCATGAGCCACATACACCATATGAGTTGGCCATTCCTCTAAGCCATCAAATATGTGAGTGGCGTAGATGATGGTGGCGCCTCTTTCCTCACATTCCTTCCTTAGAAACTTCAGAAGATCAGCTCGGGCTAGCACATCGAGGTCGACTGTTATCTCATCAAGTAGAAGAACCTAGATTGACACCAAAAGGAAAGGAGCAGGATTGGAAAGAGGAAGCCATGAACAACCATCTCAAAAGCTGGAAGCAATAGCAAAAAGTGCTACACAATACCTTGAATGGTCTAAGGAGGCCCATACAGATCTGTACTCTTCTTCTCTGCCCATCAGAAACCTTGTGCAGTCTCCATGAGAGATCAATATCCAATACCTACGGAAGCAGACACAAGGAAAGATTGGTGCTTTTGACGACAAGGTAAACTACTTACTATACCGCACAGAAATTCAAAAATCTGAAATCTTTAACAGGTTTCCCAGATCATCAATCAATCTTTTACCTTGATGAGCTCAGCTCTTCTGTCAGGGTGAATACCGGCCACACCAAATATCATCTTCTCTGCAGAAATGTCCATTTGAATTGGCACCTCGAACCCAGCAAAAGCAACATCCCTTCGCCACTGCACTACCCACCAACAAATCTCCGATTCATACAAAAGGGTTTGTTTCAATCCAGATTTGTTAACTGCCTTCTTACTAAGAAGAAGCGGAGAGACTAAAAAAAATGGCGCAAACTGAACTGACCTCTCCTCCGAGATACGAAAGGTCACCGGAAGCCGTCAGGCCAGTGTCGTGGAAAGCCGACCTGCCTAAAACCCGAACCATGTGAGGCTCCACCATATGCTTCCCTCCCAGTATTTTCAGTATCGTCGTTTTCCCTGCCCACATTTCACAATTTGAAACAAAATTCAATTGAAGCAGAAGAAGACGAAAGAGACATGGATTTGGGGAAACTAACCGGCGCCATTGGATCCGACGAGAAGGCATCGCTCCCCTGAATTGAGGGTCAGTGAGAAATCGTCGATGAGAGGCTTGGAACCCGGCGGTGGATGACCGTCGATCCCTGGGTATGTGAACCTTAGACCGTTGATTTCGATCGTCGGTTGTCTTGGCTGCTCCACAATCCCCATTTTTCCTTCTCCTCTCTGCAGAAAAAGCTGAATTTTACTTCTTCGCGCAGTTCGGTTGAGGTCTGCCTCTTCCTATTAAGTTCCCACCTCCAGTGTTTATTCCTTTCTTTAATCCACCGAACTCGCTCACCTAACTACCGACTGGAGGGAAATTCGCCACGGTCACTACTGCCCTGCCCTGCGAATCCATGACCATGTGGCATTGTCGCGTCCTCAACGAAGAAGTCGTGCTGGCATTTGACGAACTCAGCTTCTGGCCCATTCGAGGTGTAAAAAAAACATTGCCAGCCTCCCAAGATTTGGGCCTCGGCCCATTTCGTAAAGAAATTTCACATTCATTATCTGACCGGTAAAGAACCCGAGCCGTCTCCCCAACCTCGCCGATCTCGTTCCTTTTGCATTTCACTGTCCAAGTTCTACAGCAGTTCAGAGTTCAGAAGAAATCGCCCAGAAATGGCGGCGATTTACAGTCTCTACATCATCAACAAATCCGGCGGGTTGATCTTCTACAAGGTACCTACTGCTGGCTTTATCTCGGATCGTTTCCCACGGTGCTTGAAGTTTTCGTTTTTGGATTTTGTTCTCTCTAGTTGGTGTTCTTGAAATTGAATTTGAAACCCTTTGCGATTAGGACTACGGGTCGGCTGGAAGAATGGATACGAACGATACTTTGAGAGTGGCCAGCTTGTGGCATTCGATGCACGCCATCTCTCAGCAGTTATCCCCTGTTCTTGGCTGCGCAGGGATCGAGCTCCTTGAAGCCGACAATTTTGATCTCCACTGCTTCCAATCCCTTACGGGTAAACTTGGGAACTGCAAAATTTTCAATCTTTACGTTTAGGGATTTGAATTAGGTTTGAACCCCCAATCCCCAAAAGAGAGAAAAGAAAAGAGAATTGAGTTTGTTGCGTTGATCTCTTTCTTTTTGATCCAGGTACCAAGTTCTTTGTGGTCTGTGAGCCTGGAACGCTGCACATGGAGAATCTGTTGAAATACATCTATGAGTTGTATACAGATTATGTGCTGAAGAACCCTTTCTATGAAATGGAGATGCCGATTAGATGTGAGCTCTTTGACATCAATCTCTCGCAGGCTATACAGAAGGATCGCGTTGCTCTGCTGGGAAGATAGACACAGTTTGCTGATCTGATTCAGCAACTTCTAGCTCTGTATGTTTTTCAAGTGACTGCTTAACATGCTGTATCTTGATCTTTATGCATTTGCGATTTGTGCTCTTGATTTTGCATTGTGATCCCAGCAACTCTCGATTTCTTTCCTCGTCTCCTGAAGTGACAAATAGAGAATACAAGAACTATTTTTTTGGTTACCTATCTTCTTTCTAAAGCACTCTTGGTTCATGAAGCTCCTGAATTCCGATTACTGGGAATGGCTGATGTATCTTAATTCTTACAGTTAATCATTCTTATGAATCAATCTCACGTTCCCAGAAATATTCTGCAATATAACTCAAAAGTAACATTTTACTTAGCATAGAAACTTTATCATCTCTGATTACAAACTCTCATATGGAGGGACTCTTACTTGGTACAGAAGCCTTATTTGTCTGTCCCCTGTCCAATATGGATATCTATCTCTAAAATGCTCTCCACCCAGAAATGCACAAAGAACAACAACAACAACAACTAAAGAACACCCTGTACATTCTTCAACGAAACCCATTTCCCTAGAACTCCCATCAAAACCAACTTGAACGAACAAAACAACTGGACTCAAGCAAAAAGTGGAGAGGCAGAAGGTCTGGGATAAGAGGGTCGTGCTTCACGGTTCTCTTTAACATCAGATCCTTGCTGCTGGTGATCCTCTAGGCCTCCTTTCTTCTTGGATTCTTGCACCTGTTCAAGGACTGTGACCACCTCATCCATGTTCGGCCTGAACCTTGGTTCCATGGCTAAGCATTGAAGGGCAAGGTTGGCCACCTTCTGAGCTCGAGGGAGAGCGTACTGCCCCTCTAGGCGTGCATCCATTATACGGAGGACTCTTCGTTTGTTTATCAAGTAAGGTCTAGCCCATTCAACTAGATTGTGTTGCCCAGATGGCCGATTTTTGTCTATGGCTCTCCGGCCAGACAGCATCTCCAGAAGCACAACTCCAAAACTGTAGATGTCGCTCTTTGCAGTTAGATGACCTGTCATCAATCCAGATCACAGAGCAAGGATATCAGCATATAGAACAGACAAGGACTTCGCAATGGCACAAGAATATAGATTGAGATAGCTACCTGTTGCTAGATATTCTGGTGCTGCATATCCATATGTTCCCATAACCCTGGTAGAGACATGGCTTTTATCGCCGGTTGGACCGTCCCTGGCTAACCCAAAATCAGAAAGCTTTGCGTTGTAGTTCTACAACATAGACCAACAAAGGAGCCGAGAGAAACAAAATGAGTCGGTTTTCATTCACATTAACTGAATAAATGAATGTGATCAGAAGAGGAGAGACAGAATTTTCACATACCGTGTCCAGAAGAATGTTTGAAGCCTTGAAATCCCGATATATAACTTGGACTTCACTGCTATGAAGAAAGGCAAGCCCTCTTGCAGCTCCCAGAGCCACCTTCATTCTAATGCTCCAAGAAAGGGGATGAACATGAGAACCTCCTGCTTCAATTCAAACCCAATCCAATGCTTAGTTTTGGTAGTCCAAGGAATGGAAAAGAAACCTTAGTCTGGATAATGTGGCAGAGAGTGCAATCAACTAACTCACTCCTGAATAAATGATTCTCCAAACTGCCCCGGGACAAGAACTCGTAAACCAGAAGACGATGATCATCCTCCAAGCAGTAGCCCAGCAGTTTGACCAGGTTTGGATGATGTAACTGCCCAAGATAATTTATTTCCGCCTGTTCATTTAAACAGAAAACCAAATTCTTAGTATACATGAAGCCTTCCTTCCTCTAAACAGCATCTAGTTACTCTACTAATCTATCACACTAAGACATTTGCTTACCAGCCATTCTTTGTGGCCCTGGAACCCATCTTGATTCAGTCTCTTCACAGCAATGATAATGCCGTTTCCAGGTTTGGTAGCAGATAGTGAATTCTCGTCGACCCATCCTTTGAAGACTGATCCGAACCCACCTTCTCCAAGCACACTATCCGGTCGGAAGTTTCTCGTGGATGACTTCAGGTCGCTAAAGCTGAAGACTTTTAAGTTGGAGGACTGCAGAATCTCACCTTCACTCCTAGGAGTGTGAGGTAATGAGTCCCTGCTACTAGAATTGCTCAAACTTCTGCCATCTCTGCTACTATCACCCTTCGAATTCAGTCCTATACAAGATGAAGCACCCAAAAAGGGAAGTCCCGCGGTTAAACCCACTACCAATGCACCACAATCTTTCACAAATCAGCTTATCAAAATTAGTTAATTAGAAGCAGGAAGAAACTGTGTAAGGCAGAAAAAAAAAAGACATCCTCTTCCAGCAGAAAACAGCCCTGTGCTAAAAAAGGTAACTACTAGCTGACTGGGATACTACAACCCATTTTAGTGAATGGAGAAGCCATATGTTCAATCCGTTTGAGAACTGGATGCTTAGCCTAAATATTGAATACCCATCTCAAACGAAAGCAGAAGGAGATGAGCAAAAGAGAATAGAGAGCCTGAATACCAACGGTGTAAAAGATAGAAATCTATTAAGTCACTGTACCTGTATTTGAAGGACTATATGCTTTGATTCGATTACTCCAGCAAAGTCCCATCCAAACAAACAGAAACACCCAGATTTCCTCTCCAACTCCAAGAGGCTCAGTGAACCGAAGCAGGGAAAGCGCAGATCTTGAATAAGCAGCCTCAGATTTCCAGCTCAAGAAACAGAGTTGGGTGGGAAATAGAACAGCAGCAAAACCCAGAAGCAGAATTAAAAAAAAAAAGGCTGGAATTTTTGGGGAGCAGCAGTTTCGAGGGGTTCAGGAAGATTACAAAAGATCTCACCGCCGAGTTCTGTTGGCACCTGGTGGAGAGAAAGAAGGTGTTGGTTGACGATTGCCCAAAAAGAAAAGCAGGGAAGGGAGTAAAAAAAGGAAGAAAGGAAGGGTCTTTCGCTTCTTCCAATTGGGTTGCTTCTCTCTGGTTTCCTTTGATTTTTCGCTATCTTTTTTCTTCTGGTGGGTAATGATATGGTAGCCTTTTTGGACCTCGTCACTGCCAAACTATTAGTTGGTTGACTCGCTCTTTTGGCTCTTTGTTGCCTCGCCTCCTCAGTCTTCCTTCCTCTTTCAACAAGCAAATCCCTCCCTTAAATACAGAGTGATTGTGACACAGAGCATTATTATTATATCATCATTATCAATAATAAGACCAACCACTAATATAGCAACGAATAAATTAGTTACGACTAAGAATGTTCTCCATTCTTTAATTCCTCTGCTACTGTTTGCTTTTGTTTAATAACATTCAAGGCTAATGACCTTTTACTTTTCAACCATGGGTTATAACGCAATGATTGGTCAGCCTGAGCCAGACGCCATCGAATCCACTCAATCACAAAAGAAAGGGAAATGAAGCCATGGATGTCCCAATTTGTGTTCCCTCCTTCCACCGATCATGCCAAGTATTGAGAAACTTCTTAACCTAGGAGAATATCATCACTAGGGTTTGTGCAAAGAGGAGAGAAAGATTGAGAGTGACAGCCATGTATGTGGGAATTGGCAAAGATTGTGGGTTTTCTCATATATATACATCAATCAGAAGTTACCGTACATCAATGGTAAAACTAATAGACTAATTAAACGTAGCATTTACAAGAGGACAAGTAGCAAAGTAAAATTAGTCTACGACTAACTAACATCACTAAGTGGTACGATAGTCATTCCAATTCCTTCTATCACATAGTAGCCATTCCATTCATCTTCTTCTCATCTTCTAACGCCCCCTCAAGCTAGTAAATACATGTTGTGTATTGCCAACTTGCTTGATAAGTAACTGAATGAATCTGATTACAGACAATCCTATTGTGAAAAGGTTTGCCAACTGTTTTTATATACTGACATATGAGAGTTTCAACAGTCCGTATTTTAATAATGTGACAGTCTACTTCTATATGCTTAGTTCGTTCATGGAACACATGGTTTTCTACTATATAAATAGCTTATTAGTTATCAAAGAAAACTGGTATATGTTGAGGATGTGCAATTTCAAAGAAGAGAAGAAGTGATTTTAGCCATTGTACCTCACATGAGAGTTGTGCTAATGCTCGGTATTCTACTTCTGATGAAAAACGTGAGATTGTCTTCTGCTTCTTACTTTTCCAAGTTATCAAAGATTCTCCCAAGAACGTATAGAATCAGTACTAATTTTCTTGTATAAGAAGGATATGTTGCCCAATCTGAGTCACAAAGGTTTGATGGTTAGGTTAGAGTCTGTTGAGAACCATATCCCGTGGCTTGAAGTTCCTTTTAAGTATATGAGAATTCTCTGTAACCTTTCATGTGAACTGTGGTAGTTTGCTTGGATATGACATAACTGTTGCACTGGAAAAGTGATGTATGGTCTTGTAGAGGTCAAGTATTGAAGTTGACCAAGTAAATGCCTGAATTATGTTGCATTTAGTAGTGGCACTCCATGTGATGTAGACAATATAGCCTTCTTGTTGATTGGAGTTTTGGCAGGTTTACTTTCAAGGAAATTTGCATTGGCGAGCATCTACAAGAAAATTTTCTTTAATTTAGTGAAATTCCTTTTCATTAGTTGTAAAGGGAAATACAGATTCAACAAATTCCACATCTCTACTAAGAAAAACAACATTATTTTCTATATCATACAGTTTGAACCCCTTTACAACATAGTTGTATCCCAAAAAACTGTCTTCCTAGCCCTTGAATCAAACTTCCTTTTATGCTCATCCAAGACTGTAGCATAGCGTAGACACCCAAAACACCCTCAAATTGTTGTAGTATGGAGGATTTTCATACAAACATTCAAAGGGGGTTCTATTGTTTAAGATTGGAGTAAGAGCTTTGTTTATGAGGTATGCAACATGATGGAATTAGCATGAGTAGAAGGAGAGGTTGAGTAATGCGAAGGTAGTAACATTGACTTCAGTCTATTGTGTTCATCTGTTGTGAAGCCAGAGAAGGTTGATTGTGTGTCTGAGTTGCTTTCGGCACTCGTGGGTGAATAACTCGTGTTTCCTCCTCCCAAAGCATTCCTCTCAGCTCCATTGACATCAACCGAGCCAACAAAGTTTCTGGCTCCTCCTTCTTTGTTTTTCTTCTTATGTTTCTAGAAATATTGAATAACATGGTTATCCTTCTTGCAATACCGATAGAACAAACCAAACTCTTGATTGCCCTCTTTGAAGTTCTTATCCTTCACTTGCACTGAATGGCTTCTAGATGTTGCAAGAGAAGTGGCCAAAACAATGGCCTCTTCTAATTTACCAGTGTTTCCACTCACACTATTCAGTTTCTTCTCAAGTTGGAACAATTGATCTATAAACGCTATCTAGGTCAGGCAAGTGATCCAACATGAAATTTCTCTTTTACCTGTTGATACCTCATGACTATCTCATAATTTCTAGAGGCACAGTCATAGTAGGGTATTTGTAAATATCTCTGGTGTTCATCACTTTGAATCTTCAAAGAGGTATGGTATTTACTGATAGTTTGATTATTTTGTTTAGCAAGGTCAATTTCTACTACAAGTTAGCCATTCGAATAGAACCCCCTTGGCTAAACTTAGATCTGAGGTAATTTCAAGCCTCTAAAGATACCATAATATTCCGTAAGTTGGGCACGATGTCTTCAGAGACCGAGTTTCTAATCTAGCTTACCATAGTTTCATTCACTCTATTCCAAGTGCCAAACATAGGATCTGAAATAAGTGGTGCATGAATTGTGTCCATGAAGAAACCCAGTTAATTTTTGGTGTGAAGAGCTACCTCCATTGACTCGCTCTAGAGCAGGTAGTTGTCGCCATTCAACTTGAAGTCGTTGACAAGTAAGAAAGAGTTGTCGCCCTGGGCCAAATAGTAAGGGTTGTTGTAAGGGTCTTCACAGTGAAGCCGAGAGCTCTCTTTTCCCTTGTCTGGATGATTAGGTATACATCCAGAAGAACCATCTTTGGTTAAAATCATTTAGAATGACAAATTGTGTAACAGAAGTTTGAAATTGAAGAATTAGAAAGAAGGATTTAAGAGGTAAAGAGATTCAGTAGTGAACCAGGCTATGATACCGTGAGAAACTTCTTGACCTAGTAGAATATCATCATTAGGGTTGAGAAAGATTAAGAGTGACAACCATGTATGTGGGGAATTGGCAAAGATGCCTTTCCTCTATGGGTTTTCTCATTATATAGCTCAATCAGAAATTAGTACTGTACATCAATAGTAGCACTAGATTGGCATAAGACTAGACTGGTTGCATGGGATTTCAGTCAAGCATATTGGGTGGATTTTGAAGAAATGTTTGATCCAATTGCAAATATGGTTATTTTTCATTCGCTCATGGCTATTAGCTCTCTTTGTAGTGGTCATTGTATCAAATGGACGTCAAGAGCTCATTTTTGCATGGTGATTTGAAGGGGACTATCTATATGAAACACCCCCTAGTTATTTGCATGGCACTAGTGACCGCATTTTCCTCTTCTGTTGGTATTTGTACAATGTAAAACTGGTACACAGGCATGGTTCAAAAGATTTCAAGGCACCATTCTCAATCTTGGTTTTACATAGTGTCTCAATTATTGTCCCTCGTTATTTTTACATAGAACATCCTATGGCCTTGTTGTTCTTCTTATCTATATTGATGACATGATAGTCACTGGGGATGCCACTAATGGCATTAAGGCCCTTACTACAAATCTTCCTACTCCTTTCCATCTCAAAAGAACTTGGTTTGTTATCTTATTTTTTTTGGGATTGAGATGCACCGCATCAATAACTTCGTCCGTGAAATAATCTTGTTCATCACGATTGACGAACATGAAAACCACGTAAATTATGTCCCGTTTCAATTACTTATCGTTTCTTCTTTTGATAATTTAACACCATTTGTTTCGGTAATTATTCAACACCATTAACTAAACGATATGAATTGAATATTTTTCGCGTGGCCGGTTTTAGCACTCTTCATTCCGACTGCAACGCGAGAACGTATTTGATGCATGCATGTATGCCATTCTCATCTCAAGTAGTAAACAAAAATTTGTTAACCTTTCAATTTGCAGCGCCACATTCACTTCAAAGTTAGGGGGCATCGTTTTTATGTTGACGGTGTATTGAGGAGCGTAAAAGTAACATTCGACGAATCGAAGTGGAGAGAAGCATTCGAATATGCATATACAGTTAGGAGACAGCAAACGGCGGGATTTTCTCGCCGGCCGGTCGGGTTTTGCTGCGTTTCCATGCCCGACTCTTCGGAGTTGGGAATGTTATTATTATATATCGATATGTATATATGCGCTAAAAACAAAACCGACGCAAGTCCATTCATAGCACATGGACATCCATCGAAATTCGAAATCAATGATAAAGCTTATGTGGATTCATTCATCCCCATTTAAGCCGCATCTAATTTATAATGTCAACTTGTAATAAATTACCGATGAAAAAACTAATCAATCAAATTAAAGAAACTAATTATTATGAGAATATATCAAAGTTGTCAATTCGTTTAGCTCGTTGGCATGATCTAAGTCAGTGGGTGAACGGGTTAATGACCTGATTTATGAAAAAAGTCATTATGTTGTTCATACATTTATAAATTGTATCGAAACTCATTTATATATGGGTAATAACATATACCAAAATAATAGTTCGTAGTTGAATCCAACATATAGTAAAAATTCAAACACATCATATAAGTTTTCAATTGACACCTTATATAAACTGGAACAGTCTATAAAAGTCAAACAAAGTGACCTTTTGGAATGAAAGTTTGTTGAAACTGGTTTTGACCTGGTTGAAGCCAATTTTACCAAGTTTTATTCGAGTTGAAGTGGATTTGACGAATCTGAACGAAATGCTAACCAACGATGTGGTGCTCGTTTTTTCTCTCACCGAATTCGAATCAACCCACGGGTTGACGCTCTGAGTTAACAACCTTGGAATATATAGATTACGATGAAGCATAATATCAAATAAGCGAATGTCCGCAGCAGAATCGCATGCAGAGTATGTACAGGCTGGCTAGCTCCGACGGGCCACCACGTTGGGAGCACAAAAGAAATATGAT